GCTATTGGCTGAGCATTTATAATTTATATTGTCTCTAAGTTAGTCACTTGGGAAGCGGCTGTCAGTCCTTTGGGAGCAGGTGGTCAGGACAGGAAAACCCTGCATACACCTCTGGGTGTATCTGTTAGGATGTTCTAGAGATGAATATAAGCAGTATCATCCCTTAGGCTGGGTACATGCTGGAAATCTCAGTACTGGAGAGGCAAAGAAGGGCAGATCCCTGAAATGTGCCAGCCAGTTGTCATAGCGGAAATGGTAAACTCCAGGTTCAGTAAGAGACTCTTAAAAAGCAAGGTTCATAGTGACTGAGAAAGGTACTGGAGGTTGACCTTTGGCCTCTACATTTGTGTACACATATGCACAAAATAAGTTTAAGTTTCTTCCTTAGAAAGTAAATGACAGGGACTAAAGAGATGGCTCAGTGATTTAGAGCACTGGATATGTTTACAGAGGACGCAGGATCAATCCCCAGCACCTACTAGGCAGTTCACAACTGTCTATAACTCTAGTCCAGGGGGTTGGATGTCCTTTTGTAACCATTGCTGACACCAGGCACACATGTGGCTCACAAATATATGTGTAGACAAAGCACCCATACACATAAAGTAAATTAAATTTTTAATTAATAAAAAATAAGTCAAAGAAGAAAACTTAAACATTTATAATAGCGTCATTTGCTCTCTATTGGAGATTAAGTTGCCCAGGAAATAGAAAGAATGCAGACGCACACATCAGTGGTTTCCATTGAGAGTTTAGAACCATCACCCTTTTCTCTGGGTTGATGTTTTCCTCCATTGTGGGTCTGTAAAATGACCTGATGATTTTCAAAGTTTCCAGAGAGCAAGACAAAATGCTCTGTTCCTTTAAATGAGAGCAAATCAGGAGACATGGGTAGGTGACAAGGGCTGAGATGACAGACATTTGTGTTAGAACTCAGGGTCCCCAGTTTGTTTTTGTTTGAGACAATATTTCACTCTAGCCCAGGGTAGCCCAGAAATCACTATGTAGTCAAGACTGGCATTGAACTTACTATAATCCTTCTGCCTCTACCTCACGAGTACTAGAGTTACACCAATGAGCCTCTATGTCCAGGCTGTTTCTATTTCTTCAGTAGAGAGGCTCACTACCTCCCCCGATCCCTGCATGCCAGCACCATCCCCAACAAAGCATGACCACCACACTCAGTCCTCCTGGGAGTATGACATGGTTGTGGTTGATTGATCTTTTACGCCTCCTTTAACTTTTGAAAAAGTAAGAGCAGCGCTGGGTCTCAGGTCTCTACCCGGAGCATATACTGAGATTCAAACCTCTAAGCTGCCTCATTATAGCTCAAAACATCAGCCCTGCTCTCACGAAGCCAAGTGGCTCTGAGTCATTCATTGGTAAAGCAATTTTTGTTAATGACCCAATTACTTTCCTGGGCAAGAAGAGCAGGCATTTCATTACTTACACACCAACCATGACTCTCTTTAGTACAAACACATGCAAGGAGCAGATGTCTCAGAAACTGATCACATGGCCCACAAAGAACACCGCCATCTTACACTCACATATTTGAATTGCCCAATGGCTTGTGCCTCTGAAATTAGCACCTAGACTTTGGCAAGTGTGTTCTAGAGCTAGCTCAGGACTAGTCCTACATTCACTCAGACAGGAGATACACCATATTTCATTAATCGTCGTGACATTCCAGGAATTAACATGTGGAAAGTTGGTGAGCCTTAAGAGACCTGCAGCTTGTCCCATGATTCCCACTGGCCATATCCCATAATTCCCACTGGCCCGTTTCCATGATTCCCACTGGCTCATAAGGCTCAGGAGCTACAGAGGAACTTTGACAGCTTTGGGCCTCAAACTGGAAAGCATACTAGTGAGTATCTTCAATTTAAAGAGGCAAGCAAGAGGGAAGACAGAGGCTCTACATTAGGTCTGCAGGGTGATAAAGTTGTAAGTTCTGGAAATCAGTCTCATACTAGCTTAAGAAATATTAAAGATCAGCAAGTCTGATAGCAAGTGCATAAGACTCTTAAAATAAATTTCCAGTTTTTGTATTTTTAAAGTATTTAATACTTGAAGATTTAAATGTTCATATATGGGTATGGTTAGAGAATTGCTCAGACAAAAATATAGTGTCTTTAAGTACCTAACTAAGAACATTAAGAGAGCAAGAAGAAAGGTCAGAAAGAGAAAAATGAGGCAGGAGTTCACGAGAAGTAATAAAAGGTAAGATAATAAATCCACAGAAAGGAGAAAGAAGAAGATATAAAGATTAGAACGAAAGCCAATGAGATCAAGAATAAAAATCAATACCAACGATTGATGAAGCAAGGGTGCTTCTAAACAACTAATAAAATAATGCCTTTGTTATTCTCCTATTGCTGTCAAAAGACACCATGAGCAAAGCAACTTATAGAAGAAAGACTTTATTGACTTACAGTTTCAGAGGGTGAGTCTGTGGCCAACCATGGCAGGGAGCATGGTGGCAGGCAGGCAGGCAGGCATGGCGCTGAAGGATAGCTGAGATCTTATATCTGATTCACAAGCAGGAGAGAGAGAGGGACTGAATGAGGGAGGGAGGGAGGGGAAAACAGAGAGTGAGTGCTAATTTGGAATGTCATGGGCTTTTGAAACCTCAAAGCCCACCCCTAGTGACACACTTCTTCTGACAAGGCCACACCTCTCAATTCTTCCCAGTTTCACCAACTGAGGACCAAACATTTCAACATATGAGCCTATTATGGGCCTTCTCATTCAAACCAACATAAATAGCAAACTTCCGGTGAGGCTTGGACAAAGTCAGAAGGCAAAAAATCCCACACAGGACAGAAAGGAGAGGTGTCTTCAAGAATAAATGATTTTTTTTTTGCCGAGTGGTGGTGATGCATGCCTTTAATCCCAGCACTGGGGAGGCAGAGCAGGGTGGATCTCTGTGAGTTCAAGGCCAGCCTGGTCTAAAAAGTGAGTTCCAGGATAGCCAGAGCTGTTACACAGAGAAACCCTGTCTTGAAAAAACAAACAAAAAAGACTGAAGTTTTTGGTTTGATTTTGTTTTGTTTTAAATTATAAACAATGGGCTGAGAGGTGGTTCGGCAGGTCAAGATGCTTGCCTTGCAAGTCTGGCAACCTAAGTTTGATCTCTTGAACCCATGTTAGAGGTAGAGAATCAACTCCCAAATCATTCATTTCTTCTGACTTCCACACATATATCATGGCATGCATGTGACCACACCACACCACACCACACCACACCACACCACACCCACACCCAACACACACACACACACACACACACACACACACACACACATGCATACTTAATAAAAAATTTAAAAAGAAAAAGTATGACCAAGCATATAACACTACATTTCAATTTCATCTGAGAAAATGGGTCTAATTTCCATAGAGGATAGAAAATATAAAAATAGGCACAAACAAATGGAAAGCTTGCATTGGAGAGCTGGCTTAGCAATTAAGAGCTCTTGCTGTTCTTAGAGAGGACCAAGTTTGGTTCCTAGCACCCATGTCAGGAGGCTCACAACTGCCTGTAACTCCAGTTCCAGGGATCCAGTGCCCTATTCTGCCCTGTTCAGGCACCTGCACTCAAGCGCACATACACATATAATCACAATTAATCCTTAAAAAAATGGAAAGGTTGAATTGATGATCAAACTTACAGATATTGACTGGTAATTAAATGTCTCCATCAAGTGTCTTAGGAACAGAATGGAACCCAAGAAAGAAACAGGCAGGCAGTGGGCACATGAAGAGATGGTCTTGGGGAACCAGAAATGAGCCTTGTGGAGAAATGCAGATCCAGACCCCAAGGCACCACTTTATATCTATTGAATTGGCTAAAATTAGGAACCAGGGAGCTGACCAAAGCCAGGGTCACTAAGAATCATCCCACTGCAGATCCATCCTCCCTCCCACACGGGTGTAGCACAGAAAACTACCTTCTCTTCCTTTTTGTTACAGTGAATTAGCATGGTACACAGAGGAGCAGGCATTACCATGCCCTACTTGATGGGTTTTCATGTTACACACACACTGGTGGGACCACCAGCACCAAGAGCCCCCAGTGCTCTCCTTGTTATGACTTCCTTCTCCAGAAGTTTTCTCCTATTTTGACTTCTGATGCCACAGATTTGGTTTGCACTGTGGGCATGTGCATGTGTGCATACACGCAAGTAGACAATAGGTATCTTGTTTCATTTCTCTCCACTTATTTTTGAGAAAGTGTCATTCACTGGACTTGGAGCTTGCTATTCCCATGAGATTTACTGCTCCACAATCTCCAGGGATCTTCCAGTATCCACATCTCAGCCCGGCGGGGCGGGGGGTGGGAGGTGGGGGTGGTTACATGCACATGCTAGAGAGTGCTCAAAAACCCATCCTAGGTGTCCAGCTATGGGGTGGGGAGCTTCCTCCAAGCATAGGTTGTATAAGCTGAGTCAGAAGCACTGTGATTCTGTGAGGGGAGAGAGAGAGAGAGAGAGAGAGAGAGAGAGAGAGAGAGCTGCTGAGCAGAGTGGGATGGTCAGTGGCATTAGGTCCCTACTGGCCTGGGCTCTGTTATACATGTGTCAGTGGGTGAGGGTTTGCTAGTGGGATGACATTCCAGGTAGTATTCCTGGTAGATGACCAGAACAGCACCTGCAGAAGCCTGCAATTAGGCAGATATGGGCAGGTTTGTTGACATAAGAGATCCAGCAGGAGTATAGGGCCAGATGTACTGGGTAACTGTTCTTGGAAGAGCAAATGGGATTCTGGGTGTCCTTGCTGACCAGACAGTGGCTACAGCTTCCCCTACAGGACCCACGTGGATATCACTGTGACTAGAGACACACAGATTTTGGTCCCTCTATGTCTCCAGGTTGAAGTTTTGTCTCTATAAAATGATGTCATGGAGTGTAAGATGACCCCCTGATACTAACATACTGTCCATGGGTAGCATGAGCCATTGCTGGGCTAATTTCCATGCCTGCTTCCCTCTGTCTTAGCTGCAGGTGTCCACTGCTTGCAAGAGTGTGGAAAGCCGACTTGGAGGCTTGTCAGCTGCTGATGCAGAGTCTACGGCTCCAGGAAGCAGGCATCAACCCACATGCAGAAGATGAGAAGCAGATGGACAGCATAGGAGAGGCCACCTGGACAGCCACCCTGACTGCCCATCCCAGACCACACCCAGAAGAGGAGAAGACCCCCTTGCAGGTGCTCGATGCATGGAGCACTCACTCAACCCCCTTACCACACTGTGCTGGAGGCCAACAGAAAGAGGTTTGTCCTATGTATGCGTGACTTTTTCAGGGGTCCATGTGGCGATGAGAACAAACAGAACTGGAGGGGGGTTGCCATAGACCCTCACAAAGTTCCCAAAATTCATACAACTCTTGAATACGATAACAAAATAGTGTATAGCTTTTTGAAGCTTAAAACAGACGAGCAAAGAGAAAAGCTTAGAACATTAGCTTTCTTTTTTATTCTAGTTTAGAGGGCCCCATTGTTCTAATTCATTCTAGAATAAGGAAGTTCATATAGAATCATATGTAGTATGCACTATGCATCTTATATAACATAGGTTGTTATACAGACTGTATATCATATATATTCAATTGTATTTCTAGAGCCTATAGATTATATCATTTATGAATTCAAACATTCTAATGTATACATGGTGTCATTTTCACCAAAAACAGATCATGATGAATGTTTGTGGTTCATTTTTTTTCATGAAATCAAAGCAAAACAAAGAGCAGAGAGCCCTGTTGTTTGGCCTGATGTGTGCATTTCCATTAGAACATGATATTACTTAATTTTTAAAATCAGGGCCTGACCCTGACAAGTGGAGAAAGCTCCCTCACCCCACTTTCCCAGCTTTCCATTCTGCTCCTGCCTGAAGTCCAGAGGGGTTCCTTGGGTACATGTCTTCCCTCTGAGGCTTCCAAGTTCCTTATTTGGTGGTTTCTGGGTATTCCGTCAGGTCCCATATGTTCTGTAAGGGAAGAAGTTGGCTATAGCTGCTGCCTGACTCATGCCCTCACCTTGACTTTTCAAATCCCATTGCACCCCTTCCTTTGTCTTTGCCAAAATTCAATGAGATGGGAGAGTGGGTGGGGAAAGCACCCTAGCCAACCTGCAGGGTCTCCTGCTCCTGATTAGGACTAGAGTCGTGACATTACAGACCCTGTGCCCTGTGTTCAGCATAACAACCGGTCACTGTGTCTGTGCTGTCTGAGGACTGGCTGTGCTTGTATTTGAACACATGTCCCCATGGGAAGATGAGTAGTATCATAGTCTCTCTGGGTCCCTGCTAGCCTCGGCTGGGTAGGCTTTAAGGAGAACCCCTTCAATACCCAATATTCTCTCTGGAATTGCAACATAGTTTCCCAAATACTTAACAGCTTCTCATGGAGCCAACATTTTACTGGGAAGGTCATAGCAAACCCTGAGCCTATTTCAGGAGCCTGAAGCCAACAGAACATCTTAAGGGTGAGATGGCAGTATTTTGTTATATTTGTTTTACTTTAAAACATGTGTTGCTGCTAATCTCTGACCATGTCTAATTTATAAATCAGGCTTTGTCACAGGTAGGTATACATATGAAAAATTGTTCTACTTAGGTTTGATGCTGTCTGTAGTCTTAGGTATGCACGGAGGGGTCCAGGAACATTGAACCGGCATTCTTTGAATTCACAAATACCATAGATCTTAAGATGATAGATATTTTTGGGGAAAGGCAAAAATGATGGGACCGGAGAGCAGGTCTCATTGCCTGGAAGCTGGGAAGAAAGAATCTGGGAGTAGTGACAGATGTGTTTTCTGTCTTGTGGTGGAACCACTATGTATATATATGTAGCCATCTGAATCATGGCTTTACAGTGGAAAAAATTGCACATAACTTTTCAGAACTGACTAAAAGCTTAATGCAATGTCTGCCTGCTTAAAACAGGGCTGTATATGAAACAGGGGGACTTACCTCAAGACTCTGAGAGCTCAGGGGAGGAGAGGGCTCAGCTTGGAGTTCAGGTTCCATTTCTGCTGCTGGGAGGCTGCATCTTCTCATCCACTGATTCAACACCAGCAACAACATGGGCTGGAGGGATGGTTCAATGGGTAGAGTGTTTGCTGTGTAAGCATGAGAACTTGAGTTAAATTCCCAGCACCCACATAAAAGGCTGGGCAAGGTAGTATAAGCTTATAAGCCCAGCACCATGGATGTAGACACAGGAGTATCACTGACTTTGCCAGCCTGCCAAATTGGTGAACCTCAGTGCAGTAAGAGACCCTGTCTCAAAAAAACAAGGACTGACATCTGAAGTTGGCTTCTGGACTCCATATGCACATACACACACAAGAATAGTCTCCCTGTGCAAACACAAATACCTGTGCACACCCTTGTCACCATGCATGCACATACAAACTCACACACACATACTTACCTACACAGACACATACAAAAGTAACAATGGCCGCAAAAATCAAGAGAGAATAATCAGAACTAAGTTTTTAGTGGCATTAATTACCCTTCCTGTTACCATGACCAAATGCCTGACAGAAACAAGAGAGGAGAGAATGTCTTTGGCTCACTATTTCAGAGACCTCAGCCTGTCATGGGAGGCATGTATGACCAGGGCAGGCTACATCACATTGGGCCATCTCTTTTGTCTTGTTAGTTGTAGTGCCTGTACACGTGGTAAAGCCTGGCTAGTGTTAATTTCTGTATCTCTGGTGCTCTGGAGGTCACAACACCTAAAACACCCTTTGATAATCTACTTTGCTGGCATTGTCAGGAGGAGAAAGTGAGCAGTGAATGAGAGAGATGCCTAAGGAGAGGCAGGCTATAAAGGGGAAATCTTGCTTGTGTTTGCTGGGAGATTTTAGACCACTGAGCCTCAGAGGTGTGATACTTGGGGGTCTCCTGGTGAAGGTGGTTTTGTCTTCCTGTCTTGCTTTTCAGGGGCTATTGAAGTCTGGGGAGGGATGATGTGTTTATCTTGAGGCAAAATGTCCCTTTGCTTTGCAGCTCCAGGTGTATTTGGCTTTGCAAGGCGCTGCTGGGCCAGGCTACCCCCCCCCCCCCCCCCACACACACACCGGGTTTCTCT